TCACCAAATGGATTTATTTTTTTAACTAATCGGCAAATTCAAGGTCGTGGACGTGGTAAAAATACATGGATTTCACCACTTGGTTGTTTACAATTCTCTTTCACCTTGAATCATTATGACAATCCTACAACTTCTGCGTCCGTAGTGTTCATACAATATTTATTATCATTAGCTATAGTGGAATCCATTAGAACCAAAGATGGTTATGAGGTAATTAGTTAATTATCATCAAGAATTTAATGATAATAAAAAGGTTTTCATTTTTTTTTTTTTTATGAAATGAAATGAATGAATGATACAGGAGATTCCGTTAAGACTTAAATGGCCAAATGACATTTATGCATTTATTGATGACAATGAATTTGTTAAAATAGGTGGTGTACTGGTAAATTCAAATTAATAAATAGGTTATTGTATTATATTATAATATATTCACATTAATAACTTACCCCAAGTCCTTTTAATATTTAATATAATTTTTTCGTTTTAGGATGTGGGCTTAATGTAAATAATCAATATCCAACAATTTCAATTAATCAATTGATTGAGATTTACAATAAAAAAAACAAAAATGCTGAAGATTTGAAATTATTTTCACAAGAAGAACTTTTAGCTATGATAATTGTAAAATTTGAATATTTTTATAAAGACTTTTGTAACTATGGCAAAGGATTTCGACCTTTCATTGATATTTATTATAAAAGATGGTTACATGAGTAAGTTACTGATATTAATAATAATTTTATTACTTTTGTAAAAAATATTACTATTATTATAATTAAACTTTATTATTTCTGGTAGGAATCAAATTGTAACATTAGAAACTTATAATAACCAAAGAGCAAAAATAATTGGTATAACTGAAGATTTTGGATTTTTAAAGGCAATTTTATTAAATGGTAATAATGATGATGATGATAATAATAATATTAGTATGAACAATAGAAGCAGTATTAGTAGTAGTACTAGTAGCAGTACTAGCAATATTATTACATTACAACCTGATGGAAATAGTTTTGATATGATGAAAAATATGATTTATAAAAAATAATAATAATTGGAATTTATTTAAATTTTTTTTTTTGCTAAAAGAGTTTTTGAAAATCACATTTTTGTTTTACCAGACAAGATATTGAATGAGCATATACAAATGAGAATGTAATGAATCAAAGAATTTTTTAATAAATTAGCCGTGTGAATTGGTTTGGATTGATATTATTATACAGTTGTACCTGTCTATTTGCATAACGTATATTTGCATAATCTGTCTATTTGCATAAGATAGCCTGGTCCCATGTTAGGACCTATGAGCTGTTTGCATAACGTGAACATGCATATGCATCAAAAACAGTTCTGATTCTACTATATCCCACAAACATATATATGCATAGATTGACATGTGTTACTTGTAAATTAATTTTTATTTTATAAATTATTATTTTCAAAAAAACAATCTAGAGTACTTTGTTCCAAGGAATCATTATAAATTTTTTCATTGTATTTTTTACACTAGTTAATTTTTTAATCTCATCTGGACAGTCTTTATGTTGCTGCAACAAGCAAGTCATAACTTTTTCTAAAGCTTCTAATCTTTCCTTAATAGGAATAGCAGGTAACTCACTTTCTTCATCACTATCTTCTTCCTCATTCTGATTTTCATCATTGTTTTCCTCCTGAACTAAACAAATAATTGATGCATCATCTAAAGGCTCTCTGTTTCACTTTCTTCAACAGGGTTTAAAAAATTTTCTGTTGTAATAGGATTTCTATATCTATAAAAGAGTAATAGCATTAACATCAAGAATAATAAAAAACCATATTTTAAATACTTACTTTAAGGCCACAACACCCCTCTCTATGTCAGCAACTAATTCATTATCACTTTCTTGCTCTATTTCTTCTTCATTACTAAAATTAATAATACCTGTATGTCTCCAACAATTAACAATGGTATTGACTGTAACACCATCTGTCCAAGCAAATTTAATGAATTTTATAGCCTCTAAAACATTAAGTCTAGAGGTATCATGTGGATTGTCCTCAAACTTTTTAAGATAATGAACAAACTTATGACAATAATGTTTTTTGAAAGAGGCAATGATTCCAGCATCGCAAGGTTGAAGCTTTGATGTGCAATTAGGTGGTAAGAACTTAACCTGTGTATTTTGCAATTCCATTCCTCTAACTATATGACAGGGTGCATTGTCAAGTAGCAATAACACTCTTCTACCATTCATTCTTTCATCAAATTGTTTTAACTATCTACAGTTAAAGCATTTTATAAATAGTAATTCATAAAGCAAACTATCAATTGTGAATATAATTGTATACTACTTACTCTTGAAACAAAACTGCTGTCATCTGTGCTTTGCCATTTGCTCTATAGACAACTCCAAGACTATTCATATTGATTTTTCCTATACATCAGGGTTTTAAGGATTTTCCAATAATAAGTGGTTCTAGTTTATCAATTCCATCAGCATTACAGCAAAGTACAACAGTCAAACGTCGTTTATCCTTTTTTTTTACCCTCAAGTTGTTTGGTTGCTAAAGTTTTATCAGGTTCAAGTCTATGATCATTAAATTTCATTAGAATTTATTAATATTTTAAGTATGTATAGTTTAATATTATACTTGCCGAAAGAACAACCCAGTTTCATCCATGTTATATACATCTTCAGATTTAAAGGTTCTGATGACTGTTTTCAGATCGGGAATGGCATTTTCAATTGCACTAATATCAGCCAAACCACTTTCTCCATGTAATTGGTATCTTTTCAAATTGTTTCTACAAGTGTGATAATTTGTTATTGATAAGGTTAATAATCTTAGTTCAATATAATACAGAAACATACCTATTCTTAAAGCTTTGAAACCACCCAGTGGAAAATGACAATGTATCATCAGGTATATTAAGCATTTTTGCAAATGTTTTAGCTTTTTCAATTAAGATTAGATCTGTTAAAGGAATGTGACCTTGTGAATGCAAACACCATTCTTGGAATGCATGTTCAAGTTCAGGCTACTTCACACTACACGTTTTTTTTGCTGTGGGTTTGCTTCATTGTTTAAATACTCAGATGAACGTTTTAATGTTCAAGAGATAGTTGCTTGATCAACCTTTGCACCAAGTTCTTGTTCACACCAAGCAGTTAATTCTTTTGAGTGATTGTTGGAACATTTTGCTTTTTTAAACAAATTTGATGGTGTTGTTCATTGTTTAAAGTAACCTTTTTCATTGTTAGTAATGTGATGATGACAATATCTATGTGAGTAAATTTAACACTTTATAATTATAAAAATTATTCTAAATGTCAATATCACGAATGATTGTGACGCGTGTTCATTTATAATTTATTCCACGTGACTTTACATTAGATAAACACGTGATAACGTGAATATGCATATTCTGTCTGTTTGCATACATTTGCATACAAACTCATATACTCAAAAGTATGCAAATAGACAGGTACAACTGTACACCTACCTGCCAAAGATATTGACAATTTTGCAGATTGCTAGAATAAAATTTTTATTATCACAATTGCTTTTGTATACAGTGCAAGACACTTAGTCCTACAACTTTTATTGATCTTGCTGATCCCCCAACTCCTCCAAAAATGGAATGCATGACCAAAAAAACAAGATGTATGAAGCTAAGACCTTTTTCTACCTTCATTTTGTTATATGTCATGTGGAGGAATTAAGCTAAAAATGGGAATTGTAAGTGATTGGCATTATGAATGAATTTATAGATCTCAGCATAAGATCTATATCCAAGTTAAATGATTGCAATGAATGATTGCAGGATAAATGCATAAACAGGAAAAGGGATTTAATCAGGAAAGAAAACAGCGAGATAAGGAAAAAAAAGCAGTGGGACTGTGGTATAAAGCTAGCCAATGATGAGAATCAGAAACAGCATGCCCACAATCTGGAAATTATTAATGAGACCAAGCAATAGAGCTTGCATGAGCCGGCTCACAAGCCAGCTCATGAGGAGCTTTACCAAGCAATTAAAGATAGAAAATATTACCCTTACATCTTGGGATGGCTGCAATCAAGAATCTCTCATTAAATATTGTGACAATTTACAGATAAAAATGGAAGAAGTGAAATTGCTCAAATCTACAATAAGGCCATTAAAGAAGGAGTTGGAATTGGCCCAAGAAAACTCATCTCTGAAAGTATCCAAAACCAAGACTCCCAAGACCAGGTTATCTGAAGTGGAGCATCTACTGAGAACCTCAAGACCAAATTATCTAAATTGGAGTGGAGCTGGTATCAAAAGAATTGATAATACAATCTCTAGAAACTAAGTTATCATCAGAACCAGTCAAAATCAGTAGCAAGACAGATGAAAAAAAAATACTGATTTCTAAAGATATCTCTCCAGGTAGTAAACCTATAAAAAATTTCTACACAAAAAATATATGGATACAACTGAAAAAATCAGCAACAACCCTTCCTCAAATATAGATAATAATTCTTCCCTTCATATAAACCCAGAGTCAGTAAAAATTAGTGCGAATGAGGTATCCATTTTTTAGTGGATGTATCTGCTGAATGATTATTCACCAATTATCTAGTTAATTGGGTGCTGAAAATTTTTCATTAATTAATCAGGTGTTGAAAATTTTCACTAAATAATTGGTGAATAATTGATGGTACAGAATATAAAAAATAAAAATATCATTGAATTGCAATTACACAAAGAAGTTTAGTAATAGCCTATTCATCCTGATCCACATAATTGAAATCTCTTTGTTATCATCAATTAATTATGCTCCTCTCCAACTTCTTCATTATTATAAATAGGAGAACTATTATCAGGTGAATTATTATCAAGAGAATTATGTAATTCATTCATGAAGAAATCAATAACTAACAGTAAAATTGAAGGAGAGGAATTAATTATTAATTATATATTAATATTAATATATATATATTTTATTTATTATCAGAAAAAAAAATTTTTTTTTTGTGTTCAATAATAATTTAAAAACCAAAACCGAACTGAAAATTTTCAAATTGGTTTTTTAAAAACCAAAACCAAAACCGAACCGAACCAAAACCGAACCATTCAGAGCCTTAGATATATTGCTAATTACACCAAAGAATGTGCCCATACCATACACATTAGCATGATGGAAGTTTGATTTTATTGGGTATAATAAAATGTGACAAATAAAATTTAGGTTTTTACCAAAATTAGAAAATTTTAGGGAAAATCAAGATTTATATGGTGTGTGTAATGTTGATCACAGCAAACAAAAATTTAATGTGTATATAAATTAGGGATGGGAATAGTTCAACTGGCTGTTTGAAACTGAACCGATGCAGTTTGGTTTAACATAGTGGACATTTGTTTTATCACTTGTGACAAAATCAATCATTGATCTTTTTTATATTGTGAAACTTGCTATTTCAATTGAATTTAGAATAGAAAAAAGTTGCATGACTGTACAAAACCCATTTTATGGAAAATCTATTTTTTTTTTATATCAATATATCACTTTGACTTTTCTTTATATTTTGGTAAAACTTGATCAATTTGATCAATTTGATTTCAATAAGGTTACCTTAGAAGTAAAAGTTTAAGGCTTCCATCAAAATTGTGTCATTATTATTTATTATCATTATTTAAAAAATTTTTTTTTTAAATATGAATGATACCATTTTACTTATTAATAAGTTATTATTATACTTACAGGTAAAGA